GGTGTAGGGTTTAGGGTTTAGGGTGTAGGGTGTAGGGTCTAGGGTGTAAGGTGTAGGGTTTAGGGTGTAGGGTTTAGGGTGTAGGGTTTAGGGTTTAGGGTTCAGGGTTCGGGGTTTAGGGTAACCCAAAACGAGGATTATTACCCCAATGCAGAATCAAGTGGAAGAACATCATGGAAAATGAAGTGGAAACTGGGATTTATGTGGGGGGGTAATGAGGGTTAGAGTTTCCCAAACTTAGGGTACCTTCAAAGGGGGGGGGACAATAATAAGGATTATCGCATTTTGGGGTCTATGTTGGAGTCCCCTATTTTGGGCAACTGCCGCTTCTTGCAACTTGAGCTTTTTCGGTGGCTGGTAGTGTTTCTCAAAATTACACTGTTTGGGTGTGAACTGGCTAAGTACTCATCTGATGCAAGTGCGACTCTTTACTTTCTGGGAAGCTGATCCCTGTTGATTTGCGGCTTAGACATGCGTGATGGCTAGGCAACTGACAGACACATCCTCAGGGGCATACGCAGTCAACCGTCAAATTCACAGCTGAGTTGCGGATGCAAAAGGCAAGACCTTTGGCCAATAGCGGAGTGGAAACACCCTGCAGCAACCGCCTGCACATGGCCATGGCCCTGCGGCTTGCATCCATTGCTGTCTACCTGGCCACGGCAATGGCGTCGTGCGGTGAGGATGAGACTTGCCAGTTCGAGATGGCAACAAGGTTTGCCCCTGTCTTGCGTCTCGACAAGACCACGGTGGACGAGTTGCGCTGCCTTCCGGGGCATCCCGAATACACATACAACATACGCAAGACTGGCAATACCGACGTAATTTGTGAAAGCGACATCACGAAGCTGGAGCGTGGGGAGGTGCCTATTTTCTACAGGTATGAGGAGTGCGCTGAGGGAGTGGTCATCCTCATCTACTACATCTGGTACAGCCATCAGCCGGCCTGTCTGGACATCAACGTTGCCAACATTGTGGAACAGGACTTTGGCGCCCATAAGGCTGACTGGGAGCGGATCGCTGTTCACATTCGGATGAACCAGGTCGTGAAAGTGCGCTTCCACCAGCATCGGGGCTCCTACACCAAGGTCAGGAGGAAAATGCAGAGTTTCGGGTGTAGGGTTTAGGGTTCAGGGTTTATGGTTTAGGGTTCAGGGTTTTGGGATAACGGAGAATCAGGTGTAAAAGCACATTGAAAATAGGATAGAAACTGGGATCATGCCAAGGCCAGGCAAAACATGGAGTTCGATGGCAACTCCCAGCACACGGTGATCTACGTGGGGCAGGACAGCCATGGTTCTTACCACAACGCTGGTGGGACTGGAAATTGCCTTTACTTCCAAGACTTTCGACGCTTTGAGGATCCACGACTGAAGCTGGAGGGCTGGCATTTTCTAATCGACATCAAGAACAAGAGCACGAATCTCCCGGAGTGGTTCTGGGGCGACCGGCAGTACTATGATGGTTACCCCTCGCCTGGCGAGCTCGTCCACAAGGACCAGGGTTGCAACGACAATTCATGCAGGGGCGTGGATAAGTACAACTATCTCACTGGAATCTGCACGGGTGTGATCTGTGGCTGTCGACGGAGTGACTGGTGCGACGATGTGCCATTCGGCTCGACGATGGAGGAGAAACCATGCGATACGAGTAGAATGGATGACCTCCAGGATCAAGCTAAAGATTTCATCGGGAGTCTCTTCGACAGGAACTCAGACACAGCATCGATCAGTGGAACTGTCAACTTTCAGAGGTTTGCGGGGGCCTTGCTCATTGGGTGTCTACAACTCTCACTGGGAGTAGTGTGCTGAGGATCTCACTTCGAGCTGGGTAATCTGGATTGCACACAGGCTGCCCTTCAGCACCGATTCTTTAAAGGCGTCAGCATGTGCAGCCGCCAGGGCTACGATTCCACGCTCTCCACTCTCGCTCCAGCAAGTGAGTGCCTGGCAGCGATGCTCGCCGTGGGGCTCATTCATGTGCACCAGTTAGTGACTCGAAGCTTTTAACCCTAAACCCTAAACCCTAAACAATGCTATTTCTTTACTTCAACCACAGAACAGGTAGCACACAGAAAGTTGACTCAAGCAATCATGTCCCCACAGGGATTCACTTTGTGAAGCGAGGAGCATTTTCCCGTGCCCTCTAAGCTAAAAGCTTTGCGGAAATGCACCTTTGACCCTTTGGCAGTCTCTCTGCTAAGCAGAGCCAAAGGGTCCATGTACTTTTCAGGAGGAGGGTTGGTAGGGGAAATTGTCATAAACATACTCGTGCCCAGACCCCCGGGCGGATCTAGAAAGTAGATCCCCCCTTAAGGGTTCCTATAAATTATCCAACAGGTAGTATAAGGTACTATATTGTGGGTTCTACTTTCTAGATCCTCCCAGGGGTCTGGGTAGCAGTAGCAGCAGCAGCATTAGTAGAAATGTTTGTATGAATATACATATATCCAAGTTGCGTACGTACATCGACGTCCGGAATACACGATCCCAACACTTGCTAGATTTTGCGGCTGCGTTTTTTGCGGAAAACGGCGCCGCGTCCGACACCTAGCTCTTGATTTGAGACGGCTTGGTTCCCTAAACCCTATATCCGAAATCCTCGAACCCCTAAACCCTACACCCCTAAACCCCCCCCCCCCGAAACCCTAAACCCTGAAGCGTAAACCCTAAACCCTTGCTACGGGGTGTCGGGGCTGCTGTCCCCAGCCTAGCATAAGCTTACTATTTATGAGTAGGGAATGAAGGAGCGGATCGCTTTCGTAGTCCCCGAGGGCTCAGGGTTTAGGGTTTAGGGAGTGATTAGGGTGTAGGTCTTCTAATCCCCAGTAGTATAGTAGCACACCATGTTCTTTTCCATTCCTTCATTCCGTGATAACAGCCAGCAAGCAATATGGGTTGTTCTCAAAACTATGGGCCCCTTCTGATTGTAACCTATATTACGGCACTGAAGATGGGACCCTAATCCTGCGAACTACCCATTGTGCAGTCTCTGTGAGGAAGCCTGAGGGTCCCCCGCACTTACTTGTTGTTAGTCTTACCAGGGCTTAGTAGTTTTTTGAAGTATATTCCGTATATTCCCTCATTCCCTACTAAGCCCCAGTAAGTAGTTGGGAATGAAGGAAAGAAACCGGAAGCGACTTTGTTATTGGGGATTATATAGGGCTACTGGTAAATTCATATTTATTTGATTACAAAATCCTTCTATGTTCACAGTAAGATTCTGGTAAAAGGTGGCACCCCTTGTCTAGAAAGTGAAAGTTCCTTACAGTGAAGGCGTGAGCCCGCTAGATGCCAAGGTTGGCAGTCTCGTAAATCCGTCTACTTGGAGGGTCACTGGGACTTAGTAAGTGGGTTAATAATGGGGATAACTAGGGTTACTGCAATTATGCATTATTGGGGTTCTTAAGCTGCTTACTAAGTTCCCCCCCTGACCCGCCAAGTAGGTCCCATGAAGAGTGCTTATAGCCCACAGCCCTGCTTAATGCATAAACGGGACAGTCAACCTTCGACGCATGTGATGCCCAGAAAGCCTAATCATTGACTCCCAAGGGGAAAGTTACCCCAGGTCCCAGGAAGTATACCAGTAGACCCGTAGCCTTTAAAGAACAGGGTGCATTTGCTCAAATGAGGCCTGATGAGAATCCCCATAGATCATGTAGAGTATAAGGAGAGCCATAACTGTAGGGTATGCGGGGGATTCGCGTGTTGATATAGATGTCTCATTCTTTTAATGAGACACTGCCTTCTGCAAGGGAGTTCGGTGGCAGCTATTACAGCTGCCCAGATCTGAAGTTGCGCTACCTGACGTGGGAGGTGCGAACGCTTTCGGTGTAGTCTAAGGCGCAGGGTGTGGGTTGTAAAGTTTAGCACGTAGGGTTCAGGGCTAGGGTTCTAGCTGAGGTTTGCGGGTTTAGGGCTCTCAGCTTCAGGGCTGGGTTCCGTGTTCGATGTTCTTTCTTGAGGCCTGCATAGCTGCACAGTAAGTTGCCCATGTTCCCTACCATGTCATGTCACCGGCATAGAGTCTCAGAACGCATGCCCTGTCGAGTCGGTGTAAGATGTCTTTGAGACACAAGCGAGCAGAACAAGGCTCAATGTTTCCGCAACAGTTGCAACACTGCCGAATCGGAGGGCAGTGTACATTCCACGAGGGGTTTCAACTGAAACAGACACAATTTGGCCCACTGGACTTATACCCCTTCTAAGTTTTTTCTTTCCATGACTCCCTGCACCCCTCCTGCCTTCGCTCCTCTCCCTGCCCCCTTGGCCCTGCTTTGTGTTTCCTTCTGCCTCCCTGAAAGCTCCTCTTGCCTTCTTCCTCCCACCCCGCACCCGAACCCTAAAGGGCCAAGTCCCACTCCCAAAGCCCTCGACCCCAACCCCTCAGCCCGGTTTAGGGTTTAGGGGTTTAGGGTTTAGGGGTTTACGGTTTAGGGTTTAGGGTTTAGGGACTTGTGCAGGCAGTTGGAGGCCCAAGCCACCGGGTGCTCAGCAAGTTCAAGGCCCGTCTCAGCAGCTGGAGGAAGCACTTGTCATAGGGATTCACCGATTACGTCGGGTTATGTGGAGACATGTGAGCTATAGTCTAAAACTCCTAGTATCCCCTTAGTAACCCCTAAAGGGGTCCACTATATAATCCCCCATGTATCCCCCTTTGAGGAGTTTAGATTATGGCTATGTGATGTTTAGGCTTTTTGGCACAAGGGTTGAGGGCTTAGGGTTTCAGAATTGTGGGGTTTGTGTTTGAGAGTCCCTCTCATCATAATTGTGGAATTTTGGGGCATGTAGCGGAGAACTCTGTTTTTGGAGATGTCCATCTGAGGTAGAGTTTGTGCCAGGTTTAGGGTCCCTGGATGAGGGTTTTTGTCAAGGAGGAGTTTAGGGACTAGGTTTGAGGGTTTTGTTTTGGCTTTGGTGCGTGCACGTGTACACAAGTTTCATCTGGAAGCTCTTGAGTGTTATTATGGCGTGCCCTTCTGGGGAATGGCAATTGAGTAGGGATCCATTTATTTGGCATTTCCAGGTCCCTGACACGATCAAACCAGGCGCCTTAAGGTCAGTTGGTTGGGCAACACCGAAACCCACAACCCTGTCGCAATGTTTGAGCTCCTTCACTCAGGTAGCAAGAAGGTTCCCGCAGCCCAAAGCTCCGTACCCAAGACCCTAAATCCTCAAACTGCTAAACCCCTACAAACTGACGAAACACTGGACCCAAACCTCCGCGCCCCTAGATTGCCATACCCAAGCCCAACAACCCCTAAACGGCTTTATCACGAAGCATTTACGCATCCGCGTAAAGGCATGGAGAGCTTCCGATGACCGTTCAACCTGGTCGCAGGGTCGAAAGCTTTGACTCACAAAAGCTCTCTTGTGCTCAGCAGTGAATGCCCGAATGGGTTGCCAGAAATCTTCTGAGTTTTTGAGATCAAATATGGGCTACACTATAAGGATTCATTCCTTCATTACCTGCCAAGAGCCACGTAGGCAACAGCAGCATGTGAGTGACTCTTCAAACCCCTTGTTGACCTCGGGATGATAGGATTCTAGGAAGGTTTGGGATTTAGGGTTTAGGGTTTGCGGTTTAGGGTTTAGGGTGACCCAACATTACTCCCATTAGATTTTATCTGCGTATTCTTGGCATTCAGAAGTCACCCATTTTGAGAAACTCACTTCTTGAAACATGGCCACTACGAGAGGGCCAGGTGGGTTGAGTATAGGAAGGTGTTAGTGACCTGAACTCTCGAAGCAAGGACCCTAGACCCTATGAGGGATAGTCCCGGGGTCCTTACTTTGGGGGTTGGGCTACCAAAATTCTCCTACTAAGGTTGGCCAGGCATTTGAAGAGTTTTTTGCCAGGTACGGTTGCCGGAGGAATCCTACCCCATCTATCTATATGAGCGATAGTCTAAACTCCTTAAGGGGGGTTATATAGGGGATTATATAAGGGGTTATATAGGGGACTACTATAGGGGATATTAAGGGAGATACTAGGAGTTTAGATTAGAGCTCATATAGGTACCTGCAGTGTTGTAATTTCTCGTATTTGAGTGGTCCTTCGAGTAAATACTGGACTGCGGCATTCGGTCCGTTAACAACCAGGAAGAAGTGCTCTTGGACAAATAGCTTGCATTTGGGAGCTCTGTGCGGCCCATATTTGGTCTTCCCTGAGACTTTCTCGCCTTTTCCCCGTCTTGCAACCCAAAAAGTTTTTGGGGTGCTTTCAAAAGAAGGGGGTTCGTGTAACCCCAACCCCCTAAATGAAGAATCCACAGCAGTGATGCGGTAACCATGGGGTCCTTATTTGGGGAATTATTGGGGTAAGCAAAAATCCCCTAATAGGTTTTCATCAACAACATGTCTAAGGTCCGCTGCCTGAAAAGGGTTCGCGCCCTGGATTGCTCTGCTTGCCAACCTACTGGTGCCTAAGCGGGGAGCGGGGGAGTGACTGTAGGCACCATGACTGGGGCATAAATAGGGATTATTATGCGGATCCACTCCCCCACTCCCTTGAGCACCAGTAAGCCAAGTTCAGTTGTGGGACAGGAGCACTTTCGCAGCAATGATACATATTCCCTCCTAGTATATGGTGGTATTATATTGGGAGGTATTCATTATAAGGGGGTACGGAGGTACCTTGATTCTACGTCTAGTTGTGCAGTTCTTGTTTGCCATCATGGTGCCATTGCCAGCTTGCATTCCTGACGAAGCAGAACAAGACCGCAACTGGAAGATACGTGCGCCCCCGAGAGTGCCATTAGGGTTTATGGTTCTTGCTAGGCAAAGAACAGAAGGTATAGTAGTCGTGAAGC